GCTTTACGACATCACCTTCCTTACACCTAGAGCCGCTCGCTCTACGGCCGGAACCTTGTTGCTAGGGAGAGGACGGTTTGCGGCAACCGTAGAAGCAGCTCAGTTTGAATTGAGGGGAGAGGGAAAAGTTTCCCTCAGGTGTCGTGGGTTGGGGGAGGGGGGCGTTGGGAAACTGTGGGGACGTGGTCAGAAGGGCGGCAGGCAGTCGGAGGGAGAAAGGTAAATTAGGAGGCTCAGCGGCTTTCTGCTTCTGAACTGGCCCCACCCGCCGCGGCTGCCTGGGGCAGGGACGGGTCTGGCTGATTGCTCTCAGGACCCTGTACCCTCAGAGCTGCCCCTCTCGCAGTGACCGGAGCAACCTGTCCTCCCTCTTGGTCAAGGTTGGGCTCCGCTCCCACGCAGCATGTGTTCTCTCAGCGCATCCTGGGGCTCGGGAGAGGGTCTCTCTGGGCTACCCGGGGAGTTGCCAAGAGTAGAGGGAGGGCAGGTTCGGGGAACGGTAGGGACTGATTTGGGAAGCTCGGCCTCTGACGGCGAGGGCACGCGGCGTCACGAGAGAGGCTACCTGACCCCGCAGTTCTGACTCCCTTCCCTTACACGGACGCACGGTTTTCCCCCAAGCGAACCGGGGTGGGAAGTGACTGCAGTTAGATAGAACTTCAGCTGGACTGAAAGAGAGGAGAGAAGTTCCGCTTGCAGGCAACACCGGCGGTGAAGCAGAATGAGTAATACCCACACGGCCCCAGTCTCACTTCCTCATCTGCACCAGGCTCTCACCTGCTGTCATCTCGGCCTCCCCCGCCCCGCCGTCCTGCTCTGGGCCCTCCTCCCTGCTTTCTTTTCCCTTAGAGTAGACGGACGAGATCGGAGGCGCTGAGTCGTAGAGTTAAGGTACTAAGGGGCACGATTTACTACCTAAATGGGCAGTTACCGCTGAATAGGACCTTAAGGCAAGAAACAACGGCTGACAAATGTGGTCTTTGAAATTGATAGATTGCTGATCTTATCTCAAGTCCCTGACTTTATACAAGTTTGGGGATTTCTGAAAGACCATATAGATAACACTACAAATAGCAAGAAAGTCAAATCTTAAGTATTCAGTAGGATTTAGCTTTCCCTTCCTTCCCTCCTCCTCTGCCCCATTCAGATGAGGACAGGTCTTTGGTACCAGCTTTATAGAATAAATGAGCTGTATTTAAAATAATTTAGTTGTCAATTAACAATGGAAAAGTTACTGATAGAGAAATTGCGAAAACTGAAATGTGACATAGAGTTCTAAATAGCACAGTAAGTCACCCTGCACAGTGCTGTCCCATAATAGGTGCTCAATAAATTTGTCTATAATTTTTGCCATACCTATGGCAAGATTATTATATTGAAATCATCTTTTAAACACTAGAATTTTAGAAGATCCATTAATCTCTTCAAACCCTTCAACTGAAATAAATTTACATCTGAAGTCTGGTAATTTAAAATTAGAAAGTTTAATCCTGAATATAGATGAAAATTTTCTCTTCCACATTTTCTTTGGCATTTTGAGAAGTGAATGCATTATTTATTAGTGCATGAAATGTGACTGTAAATATTCTTTGCTATACATTATGTCTATATATCTACTCATCCTCGATGCCAAAACTAGAATCATTACTCTTAATGATCATTTTAAGTACAGGCAGTCCTTGATTTCCTTAATACCATGTCAACCGAACTTGTGTATGTCAGAACCAGAACCATGTCCATGTTTTGCTTGGTTCAAGCAGTAATTTTTTCCTACTTTCTAAAATCTGTGCAGTGTTCTTCGGTTGCCTCCTGAATCCAGCAATTCCTCCCACTGCACACAACTTTTTTACAGCTACCCTAATTTCCAGTCGCAAGGGAAAGAAATACTTTCTAAGTAGAAAGTGTGTAACACACATTTTACCTGGTCTTAAACTTAGGAAGTATGGCTCATATCCTTTTCTCCTTTGAAGTGTCTGTCCTGTACCTCCCTACTAAGCTTCCTTCAGTATTCATCCTCACCTTAAAGTCAAAGAGAAAGGGACAAGTAGGTACTCATTGTCTTCCTTACTTTAATGGTTACTGGTTTAGTTAGCTTGGGCTAGACTTTTGTTGTTCATTTCTGTGCCCTCAGGATCTAGTGGAGTACCTAGTTATATAGTAGATGCTCAATAGGGAAATATTTCTTAAGTTAATATTCTTGACCTTTCTTATATAATAAGTGAGGATTGTTTATCTGCCTTCATCACATTAGTTGTTTGGAACAGTTGAAATCATGGATGTAAAAGCTGCTTACTGTCATTTATATCCTGCCTTATTTTGAAACTAATTGATCTTGATTTTAGTGTCTCCATAATGGTTTTCCCCAAATGATTAACTCTGCTCACTCCTATGTTTTAAATATGCATAGGAAATATTATTGATATCTTAAATCTTCTAATACAAAATTTCAGTTTTGTAAAATCCTGGAATAATGATATATATTACAAATTGAATATTTGATTAATACATTTTGTTCACTGTAATGTTCCCAAAATTATTGATATCTAGACTGAAAAGAAAGCAGACAAAAGTAAATCTCAGAATAAGTTGCTGCTTTAAGCCTGATGCATATGTGATGGTTGCTTATCTCTTAAATATAATGAAAGAATTGGAAAAAATCTCTAGAATAAGTTTAGAAAAGGAAGAACTTTATTAAAATTGAGCTTTATTTAGTCAATTATACCTCAATAAAATAATTTAGGTTCATTTAAATCAACCATGGTGGGGATACTAGTAAGAGTTTAACATGTATCTTATATCATTGATTTTAGTTATTATAGTGTCATTATGCAATATCTATTCAGTATATATACTCCTAATTTAAGTGTAAATGAAATGTTAATATTCTGCTTCTAGTGTGCTCTGGGATTGCATGTGCTGAAAGGTATTCTGCTGAAAATGAATTACAATCTTTTTTAAATTTATAAGGAAAATGTAAATGGATAGAATATCCAATACTGAGGTTTTTTTCTATAAATTTTTCATAAACCCTTTGCACCTGCTATTTGCTTTCCATGTAAGATTCATGTATAATAAGTTAGGATAAAATTTGACATAAAATTATTTTGAATTTAAAATGTAGATATTTCATGGTGTTCTACATCGAGCATATGATTTTCACATACCTCATTTCCTGAACACATTTGGGAAGTATAACTTCTAATATGATTCTATAATCTTCATCAAAATAAGAAGTTGTTTGTTTTTATTGAAAGATAACATTAATTACATCAACTAAATTAATTACATTACCATGTAATTCTAATCTTAGAGCTTTGAAAGAAAAAAGAATAAATTTGACACAGGTTACCCATCAAGGTACAGAATTTAGAAGTCCCCTAATGTTGCCCCTCATTCCTTAACTCAATAATGACCCTGGACATGGTGTTCACAATGAGACAAAAGAGGGCCATGGTGGTTTAATTGCTGCAGTTTGACCAAATTCTATAGTCGCTGAGTCAGGAAGGAAACATGACTGCAGAGTGATCCAGAACCAACAGCTGCCTTTGGGACCCACACCAACTTTTCTAATAAAGTCTCCCAGGAGGTAATAATAGGGAGAAATGTTTTCCCCAAACCTCCATGTGGTTTTATTACATATTGCACCATAAAATGGTTTTTCCCTCTGGGGAATAAGGCTCCTATTTTTAATATAAGTCAATGAAATGTTAACACACAGAGCTTCTTATTTTGGGGGCATTTTTTCCAGGAACATGTCTAATACAAAGAGATGTAAGTATAAAATGTAGAAAAAGATGTTTGAAAGGTGTTAACATCCAAAAACTAAAACTAATGTTTCCATAAAATCACAGTAATTAATATAATTGTTTTCAAAGGCTGCCTTCATGGAAGATACAGTTTCTATTATTGATATCACTTAGAACGTGAATAACTTTTTTTTTTTTTTGTATACTTGACAGCTATAGGTAAATTAAAACACAACATGCATATTCTGGATTTAAGTGAATTTTAAGTATATACCTTATCAGGGATCTGATACCTGCTTTCTACTGCTGTTTTTTTTCCCCTTTTGTCTCCATATGTCTTTTCTCTGGCATCTTGATCTATTTATTTATTTATTTTTTTAGCAGCTGACTGGTTCTGCGACAGAGTATAGCTATTTCATTGACCTATAGTCCACAGATCCTTAGTTATAGTCACTGCCACTTTTCATTTTTTGGAGTATATTTATTTAAAATACTTGCAGTCAGTAACAGGTTTTCAATGTCCTACAATTGTGTTACACTCACATGAAAAAGTGGGCAATAAGAAACACCCTGTGTTCAAATATATCCACAACTTTAAGATCCCTGGTCAGACCCTTCTAATTCCTTCTTATGCCTCTATTTCTAGCTTACTCTCTTTATCCTAATTACATAAATAGATCACAGACTCTGCCCCTCTCCACTGGTTTATGTTTTAATCATTCTCTTCATGTTTCTTTATGCCAGGTCTAACACAGATCTATTTGGATCAATTCCTTTCTCTCTTTGTTCAAAGTTTTTTGACTCATCCCAATGCTTTGATTTTTCATATTCTGGTTTTTCTCTGTCAAAGTCCATTCTCTGCCTTTCTATGTTCTTAGAGGCTGATTTTTATGGACCACAACACCCAGGCTCCTTTGCCTCTGGTTTCTGTTTGGTTTCAGCCAATTTGGAGGCCTTGGCAAATGATCACAGGAAGGAAAGAGAGAAAGGTCAGGATATTTATTTCACCTTCCCCCACACTCCCTCCTGCCTGTTTGTGGCTTTTGGCAGTAGCTTCATTCCTCTACCTAAGGCCACGGCTCTAGTCATACAACCCTGTCTCATGGCGAAGGGTCTTGGCAAGTTCCAGAAACTGTTTCCC